GTTACAGAAATGTGGGAAGCTTTCTTGTGCTCCCTTTAAAATAGCATAACCACAGGGAACAGGCATTGTACGTGGGTGTTATCAGATACTTATCTCAATATCTCCATGAAATAACAACTCCTTTAAAGTATACTGCTGAGTCTGCTGAACTTTTATGTTCGCACTCCCAGGGTTATTTTAATGAGACTGAAAAATTAAGAAACCGTTATGGAAAAATTCCAGCTTCAGACAAACTAAGGGAGGGGTAAGACTTCATAATACCATGGACACTGACAGAGTCTGAATCTGCAAGCCAGAAATACAAATATAAAGCATAATGCCTTGCACTGTTTCTGATTATAAATGCATTTAAGTTGTTGCTCAGCATACTTGGGATATTCTAGTATGTCATTCGTCAGTGAAGGTCAACAATATACTACTTTACAGCTGAGGGAGGTGTCAGTAAAACATCTTGAAGCAGAACCAAAGCTGCTAGAAAAAAAACTGTCACTAGTATACCTAAATTCAACAAAGCACACCAGAGAAATCATAAAACAGGGGCATACATCATCAACTCACTGCCTCTAACCTGCACCAGATGGCGCAGTATTTTGTTCAATTTATTTGAAGCCTGCCTCAAATGTCCTTAAAGGGTTTAAAAATTCTGTAATGGTAGAGAAAAGTTCTATTAAAGTATATAGGAAACCTGATGTTTGCCCGTGTGTATCTAGGAGGCAGGTCTCTGGAGAAATGTGAAGATATGAAACTCTGAGGGAGTAGAGGAATGGAGGCAGTTTGTGAAGGGAGATGTATTCCTTTTCAGCAGGGCAGGGGTACTCCATTCTTGAAAACCTCATTTTCCAGAAAAAGATAACAATATGTGACAAGTGCTGTTTGTGCTGTGTTCAATTGAACTTAACGTTGTTGAAATGAGCCAGTTACATGATTGTAAAGTATTATCCTTAGGCAAGCTTTCAGGTTAAAACACATGGGCAAGTGAACTCACCGACTCCTGCCGAGTTTCCAGACAGCTTGAAGCAGACATTTACAATTAAAGAAAGGAAGAGATTCAGTAATTCTCATAAAGTTAAAAACTTAATTAAAACTAAGCTTCACATTTTTGACTGGATGGTGAGGCAATCTACATATTTGCATCATACATTTGCTGATACCATACCCTTTATGCGGAAGACCAGGTACGACATTTAAGTCTTTGCCCATCTCATTTTACCCTTCTGCTCCTTGCAGACACATTTACCTTATAGTCATAGCTGAGGGAAATACAGTTTCCTTACTGCTATGTGTATATAAAGAAATACCAACAGGTACTAAAGGAATGTGAGTAAATCCAAGTATATAGTGTCATAGTAAAACCACTGTCTTAGCCACCCCGCACCCAGGAAATTTATACATCCCCACATGCAGGTCCCAGGAAGGGACACAGAAAATCTGCATCAGTTTTGTATGCTGGTTGGCATTTGTTGGGGTTTTTTTGTTGTTTTGTTTGTTTGTTTGTTTGTTTTCAATGGAATAAAGTTGCAATTCTGGTTAAAAGCAGGGTGTGATGTATCAGCCAAATGTCCTGTTTCACAAAGGGAGTAAAACCCCGTCCATAACACAAAGTCCCACCCTTCACTGCTTTCAGAGAGAAGTCGGAAACGCTCCCACAGCTGGCTCATGTCACCCCTGCCTGTGCCATCACTGCATCTCTGGGATGCTCAATTCCTGTTGCAGTTTTGTCCACCATTCATCGCGACCTCCTCAGGACTGAATTCCACAACCTGACTTTAGGACACTGCTCCTTCTTTCTTAAGCTCATTGCCAAGGCAATTGCAACTATGGACCATTTTTAAAAAGCAGCACATGAGTATCACATTAAAACAGACACTCCTGGATGAAAAAAAGTAATTTTAAAATAAGTTCCAGATCTGTAGTACGATTATCAAACTGTTGAAATCCTTTGTGCTATTTATACTATTTGTGCAATTTTTTTCACGGGGGACAACAAAACATTTCTGAATTGTCTACGGCAGCAGTGAATAAATCATTGCTGAAAGAACCCTGATCCTGCTGTTGGTCTTTTCAGACATGGAAATACAAATCATGCTTTTGTTAGGACCTACTCTAGTAAAAGATTTATGCATTTTGATATGATTCCATGCTACACTAACACACACTGACTCACAGACCAATATGAAACAATACTACTTTTTAAAATTAATCTGTATGTATATTCTGTTCTTCTAAGGAGTAAGGTCACATTTTAAGACCTGGTTAGACCCATTAAATCTTACTTAGCTTGAACAGGCAACTACTATCCAAACAAAAGCCGAAAGGTAAATGTTGAATTTCTATAGAAAAAATAGCTTTTTTCATCTCCTGTACACCTCAGATAATCTATTCTTCATAAAACAGAATTTGCCATTACTGTAAGTACTTTACCATTTGAAATAAGTTAAGACTAAAAAGGAGTAACTGACCTGGTCCAGAAGAATATGCTAAATTCAAATCCAACAGAAGTGTATTTTTTAAATGGCAGGCATAATGACAGTGAAAATATTTACCTGCTAAACATCCATATGCAGTCATGATTCAGTGAACTCCTTCAGCATGCAAGTGAGCCCATTAAAGTCGATTCACTATTAATACACTAAAGTAGGCTGCTAAATCAGAGCCTGCATTTTACAGTACAGTATTCACAGTGCCAGAGTCTTGGTAACAGCATGCTGACAACATATCTTGAAATGGTCTTTTTTTTTTTTTTTCTCTTTCTTTCTTTTTTAAACATCAAAAAAAGTAAAACATATACAATACATGGTGACATACCTAAAGCTTTAATGCAGAAAATGCTGGTTTATACAGGGGTCCTCCAACTTACCTGTGGCTTGGCAGAAGAGGCGAAAGGGTCCCCGGACACTAACATGCTGTGCCTGGTCACTTAGGAAAGGTGGCAACAACATGACCTTTACAGGGTCTGTGCTAGACCAAACATCAGGCTGGGTACTGGTGGGTGAAGGAGGTGAATCACTTCCCACACACGACAAAAAGGAGGTACCAGTAGGAAGGAAAGGTAAAGGAGAAGAGGCTGTGTGACAGAAGAGGACAGAAAAGAAAAAAAAAAAGAGGGTTCTAAGGAAAAAAGTTGTAAGAAATACATCACACACTGAAGAAATAATGCAAAAAGACAAATGAATTTTAGAAGGGTAATAAAAGGAAGTACCCCTAGGCCCCTAGAGAAGAGTGCTTTCCTCCTTCATCCACGTTTCTTTCTTCATCCTTCCAATCTGTGTTGTGTCGGGTGTCCTGTCCCCCTCCCGCCACCAACCCCCATCCCCCCCATTCAACTACAGCTGAGCAGAGAATCTGCTTCAAATTAATTACAAGTTTTCACTTTTCCGGCTTAAAGGAAACCACAAAGAACATTAGAGACTTGCAATATGGAAAGCAGTGTCATTGTGTCAAGTTTCATAAAAGTCAAGATATAATACAATTTATTTTAATATTTATTCTGTTATATGTACATAATTAAAAATAGAAAAATAAAACCAAACTGAATCTTATAAAATATAATGTTTACACTAAGATGGTCTAAATTATGTTTGCATGAAAGTTCAACATAGAAAAGCAGCCCAGGCATACGGCTATTGACTGTTAAAACATATTCTACTTCTAGCAATATTTACAGAAAGATGCAGTGAGAGGAACAATTCTTCAGGACTGTACCACACAGAATGCTTTTACAGACAAACAGTGCTGCTGTGAACCAGGCTGAGAACAAATGCACACTTTCACGTTTGCAGGCATGATTCACATAAACAGTTCAAACGACTGATTGTTTGAGCAGCTCCAGTTTCAGTCTCCAGTTGCATAGGAGATTGGAAGGTGTCATCCAGAAAGGGTGACGCTGCAAAGATTTGTCACAAAAAGAAGTTGAGTTATTTTTGAATCTGAAAAAAAGAAAAAAAATCGGCAACATTTTCTTATCAGGCTGTATCCTAACAGTCCATTCCAGCAAGTCACTAGCTGAATTATTGTAGTTAATTCTTCTCAATTCCTGTTTTGCTTCCGTAGTGCAAAAAACCTCTCTCCGTGTCACTCCTAACTGACAGCTGCTTGCCTGTACTGTTTCATTAAAAAAAAAAATATCCAGTTTTGTATAGAAAATAGAATGTGACTATGTCCACCAGCTTGCTGGTTAAGGGAAAAAAAAATTAAAAAGAGAAAAAGAAAGGAAAAGCATTCCTAAAGCTATTCTTTCCGCCCTCCCCCCTAACTTACTCCATGTTTCATACTGGCATTGTTGTACCTAAATTTCTAGAAAGCAGCAAAGAAAAAAGCCTTTAAACAAGATTATCCCTGAGAGTCATACACAAATCAAGCCAATGCTATCCCCATTATATCTTAAGATCTAAGATACTTAAAAAGCAGTTAAAAAAATTAACTTTAACCAACTAAAGAGACATAGTGTGCCAAAACACAAAGCATAAAACTAAAAATAATCACTAGAAGGAAAGAAAAAAAAATGTCCCAATCTGGACAAAAGTCTATAATTTACCAATCTGATAAACTAAACTTAATTTCCAATTTGGAATTAAAATGAAACTAGGTCTTTTTTTAATGGCAGCTAAAAATATGTGTAGACTGAAGTACTTTTTAAAGCCAACTGAATTAGAAAGTTACTTTTATCCTATGGAAGAACAGGGCTGAAGAACAAGCAAGTAACTGCTCACGAGAGCGAAGTGCTTGGTGGGGGAAAAATTGGAAACAAACAAATTGTGATCTGAAACTGGCCATTTGAAAAAAAAATAAAATAAAGACAGTACAACACAAGATGCTATGGTCTGCAGACAAGAACACCGCTTCTCTAATCTGGCAAGATCTGAATGCAAATTGGCTTGCTGTACAGCTTAAGCACGTAAACCCCGCTATGGCTCAGCTGTCACACCCACGCTCTCTGTGCTCAAATAGCCAGCCGCAGGACCACAGCTGATCTCCGCCACTGAAATGGACAATTGGGTCCTTCAGTCCCCCTCCACATCCGAGTCGGCGTACTTGAGCTCACACTTGACATCGAAAGGCTTGTCCTTGGCCTCTCGGGATGCCTGCAAATCCCCAGGCTGCAGCTGGCCATTCCCGCAGTCAGGCTCAGTCTCGTAGCCGGTGTCATGCGCCGGCTTCGGCTGGTCCCCAGGCTGGTGGCTGACACTGCCTTGCTCCACCAGCGTCTCCTTCACACTTTGCTCACAATCGGAAAAATCTGACTTCGTTTTCTTCTTACCAAGCAGCATGACAGAGCGAAATTTCAAGCACTGCCCTGGCAAGTACCCTTTGTAACAGTTGTAGGAGAGCAGGCACAAGAAGAGAATAAAAAAGAAGAGGAAAAGGAACATCAACAGGAAGTTATCATTTGACTTGAGGAACATTGTCTTTTCTGGGACCACATCAGGAATTGAATTGAAGAGCTCTGTGTTGGAGGCTGCGCTTGTTAGGACAGGGCCAATGGGCTTTGTTACTATCCTCGCTGTTGTTACGGGTAGCATGTGAGTGGTCGAGGTGTGAGCAGTAGACCCCTCGGTTGATACAGCTGACACTTTTGGCACATCGCTATTACCTTCTGTTGGTGCAGCTGCTGCGGTGGGACCCACCGTGGTATGCTGGATCTTTTTCAGTTCCAAAACATGCTTAGCCAGCACTTGAGAAAATTTCTTATTCTTCACTTTTTCTTCTGACAAACACTGGTAAACACCACTGTCTCCTTCTGATAAATTGAAGATAAGCAGCGCCTTTTCCAGCAGACGGTACTTGGGACTCTCCACTCTCAGTACATCGTCTTTGAACTTCCAAACTACCTGTGCCAGATTGGATTTTTGAGAACACTTGAGTTCTGCTGTGCTCCCATGCTTGAATGTATGCTGTAGGGAATTCTCTCTTACTTTATCTGGAACATCAAAATAAATGTGCAGAGTATCAGCAATGATTCCCGTTTGCTCTAATCCATATGGTTTCACGAGACTGTACTACTATGGTCTTAACAGAAATGTAAAGATTACGACATTCAGATTACCTCACAAGACCAAGATGACAGCATGCAAGAATCTCAGTGAAATACCAAGCTACAGCTGCGTGCGAGACATCAAGACAGACTACGAGATAGGACACCTCAAACTCTAAGACGGCCTCCACTTCTAAAGTTGCGACCTTGTTGATCCACAACTGACCATGCATCTGCGACGAGTCATTGTTTGAGACAAGATGCTGAACTTAGTATTATTTTATATGCAATTAGTGCATTTTAAGTAAGTCAGCAACTACAAAATATCCAAGAAATTGAAGAAAGTGCTGTTACTCAACTTAAACTCTTCTAAAAAAATAACAGCACTTATGGCATACTCACAGTGCAACACTATAAATTAACAAAAAAAAAAAATGAGCTAAACTCTCATGGTGGTCCATGCTTTGCTTGGATTAGAAATAAAAACAGAGTATATCAAACTCTTAAAAGGATTGTTTACTGCAGCACAAATCTCCTGTAACACTACTCTTCTTTAAGATCTCCTTGATCTGGTGGCAGCAGCACACGCTATAAAGAAAGGACCTGTGGTTACTTGCCTTAAAGCACTATGGAGGGTACTTCAGCTGCTCTGTATCATGTTCTGTGTCCCCCTCCCCTCTCACCATAAAACCACCTTTTTTCAGGATCATTTCATCTGATCCATCAGCAACAACCAAGCACTTATCAAGGCTCACAGTAGAATGTCAAATGCTGTATCACAGAGACGGTGGCCTCTGCACTAGAAGTACTTATGGTAAATACTGCTTTCATTCACAGGTCGCTGTTGAGGTATCCCCTTTCATTTCAGGGGTTTGTGTACTGCACACTGAAATGTATACAAACATAGACATTTTAAGACAACATGCAGGCTGTACAGATGCTTGAATATTAAAAAGCAGAATCTCATACCTATTAAAATATAAATGAACGTCCACGTAATCACAAAAACCAAGTCAAACTAAACACAACTCTTTCACTACTCCATCTAGACATGTGGAAGAGCTCCTCAAAGACTAACTTACCAGAACAAGAAGATGCATCTCCACCTATGTTCTGAATCCAGTTCCTGTAAAAGGAAGTCCAAGTATTACAACTTCAAATCTTGTTTCCTATAGCCTGCCCATACTCTCATACTAAGCAAGACTCATCTTATCTAAGTAGCACAAGCAGACATAGATGGATAGGAAAAAGTCTGTATTTGAAAACATGCAGTTAAAAAAATGCCAGTAATCAGTAAGGGGCAAGACTGATGCAATACTGATTGTAACTGTATGGTAATCAAAGGCTACCATTACCTTTCAATTTCACTTTCTTTGAAAACATCAATGCAGGAAGCTTCGAGGGGTTTCCAAGCACAATAAGGATCCCTTGCTAAAACACAGTCAACACAAGTAGTGTACTTGTCACAGAATGCCACCGGAGACTGAACCACGCCAGAATTTGAACCAGCATAGAGGTATCTTCTGCCCTAAAAAAACCAAACAAAGCGCAACAAAAAAAACCAGAGCCAATCACTTTCTCAAAGCCAAATAATCCAATTCATGAAACAATTTAAAAATAGTTAAAAGTGAAGAGTTGCATACATAGAGTCATGTTTGTAAAAACTGGAGCATGAAGGGAATAAGTATTTTGATTAGCTTTTATTCCTAGAAATGAAAGCAGACCTATCTTGAAAATATGCAGCAATGCTGCAAGTGCAAAAAGACAAAAGAACAAAATCCTGAAACAGATACAGTTTATCAGAATGGAAAGTAACTATGTCTAACCATGGCTTCATCACACAGTTTTTTCACAAATAATGAATGCTCCAACAATCCTCATACAAGGGAAGGCAAGCCTGTGCTGATGACATGGCTGCAGCAGGCACACGCAAGCCTGAACAGGAAGGCTTGCTGTATGTAGGACCTGCTCCTGCTCCTGTTAACCCAATGCAGTCCTACTGCCTTCAGCTCTTCTACCAGCCAAGTCTCTGCAGCCACATCAGCCATTAGCCTGGCAAGAGTCAAATGCAGCTACCTATTTGCTACTCAAGGAGGAACACTGGATAGTATTCAAAGGAAAGAGCACTGGCCTGACGCCTAGGAAAAGGGGGATACAAACAGGACAGCTGTTTGACCCACTGTTGCTGGGGATCCCAAACTAGTCTCATGCTAAGCGTGGCAGAAAAAGATCACACTCATCCCAAACACCCTTCTCATAAAATGTGGGCAGCTGTCTTATTTCACTTACCTGTTTCAAAGCTCAGGGAAACTGATAGCTACACTGTGAATTTACATATTACTATGCAAAGCCTCAAGAAAAGGACCTGTGCTGCAACCCAAAACCACCAGTGACTGACCTTCTAGTCCTTTTGGGAGGTTGTACATACAAAGCCCAACAGCACACCCCACCTTGGCAGTGAATTGGCTTCATCCTGAGCAGAATACTGAGTGGATTTATCAGCACCCTACCGCAGTTGTCATGGCAAATGAGCTGGATCCAAGCACAGAGTGGCTTTTCCTGTACTGCAGCCGTACGGATCTCAGTACGTAAAAATGCACTGAGGGGGACATGTCTGCAGTGAGACTGCTTGACTCCAGCAGGATGAATATGGTCACAAAATGATGGGCAGACATCCAGGAAAGATTTCTGGTAGAGAAACATCCTTCAAAAAAGTCATGTTCGTGGTGCAGCCTTTTAATCAACATCAGAAACAGCCTCAGTAAAAAAACTAACAGGGCATCTTAGGGCTGAATTAGGTTTTGGGGCTCACTGTTACTCTTTCACAAGGATGCAAGGAGGTTTTGCCATGAGAACTTGGAACAGATTAGTCTCTCTAATGCAATGATCATGAGGAAATCTGTTTTAAAATTAAGCTAATAAACAATGCACTCTGACTAACAGCAGTCTCTAGATGAAGCTACAAGACCAAGCACAAATCAATTTGGATCCATCTCATATATGAAGAGTGCAGACAGCTTTCAAGGAAACTCTTGACACTGGAAGATGAAAGGCAAAACTGGATCAAAAAAGAACCTGCTGGCCCTGTTGGAAGATGGACCTTGAAAGAGAATCAAACTTCAGAGACATACATTCAAATGCAGTCTTTCATCCTGAAATTTAACTTAGGTTAGTGTTGGAATATCCTGTGGTGCCCACAGAAGGAAGTCCGCAGTGCTGGAGATGTATGACATTCCAGGAAAAGTTTCCCACTCTGCTGGAAAGCTCCCCCAATGCACTGAAGGAAGCTCATCTCTCTAGCACCCTGCTAGCTAACGTCCAAACCAGCAGTGCAACACTGCGCATGGGTTGTAGTGTCTTGGCATGGTTCCCAGCTGGTACATCCCTGAGTTCAGAGAACATGCAGTGAGCTGAGCACACCATTTTAAAAAATCCAGACACATCTTTCAGTCAAGTGGGAGTTGTGAGGATCTACTGTAGGCTCATCTGACTCTGCCTACCACCCTCCAAGCACGGTGAAGGTATATGGGAAGGGCCTGGAGACTACTGCAATAACGTGTTCAGAAAGGACTCTGACTCCAGAGAGGTCTGAAGCCCACCACCAGGGTAACAAATATTATCCTCTTGTGATTAACCCATTTCTATGGGATGCCACTACACACATCACAATACCAGCTCTATGAAAGACTTCAGAAGCAACTAACTGTTACTGCTACTGTGATGTCCAAGAAGGTAGAAACTGGTGTTTTCATGCTGGGGAGCCGAAATAATCCCTGCTTGGGTGGTACTGCAACTATACAGTTTTCTTGACTCCAGCACCTGACCCAGCCTCCTGCTCCTCATTGCTGAAAAGGACTACTGCTTTTATGGGAATGTACTGGCAACACTGCTTGAGTTTTGGGTGTTAGTTTTATGTGTCAAAATTTATTCTAGCAACATGAAAATTTTCCCTTGCAGAAGATACATGCTGTTACTCTCCACAGTGCCAGGCAGGAACCAGCCATTTGTTTCAAACCTAAGCTTTGAGAGAAGTTTCTCTGCAAAAAGACAGTGTGTTCCTTATGCAGCCCCTATACCATGTCTCACACTGCCCCCTTTCACGATATTCTTGAGGAACTGAGAACATGGCACCCGTATTCAGAGCAAACAAATTCAGTGCCATCATTAGCCTTGGCTCACAAGTGCATGCTGAAACTGCTAGATCACATCTCTGGTATCAGGCAGTAATGCCTGCCCCTTGCCTTCCACTCCCCAAAAATGGGGGAATCGTAATTAAGCCAATGTATGAATGATCCCACAATTCACCCACAATTAGAAGGATGTGTATTACCATATTTATTAGAAGAGTTATTTATCATTATCTTCTATCACAGGGCAAACGCTGAAACCTCCTGTCAAAGCAAGGAATTCGAAGCTTTCTTTGCAGATAAAGCAGAACCAGCAAACATATATATATGTGTTTGTGTATGTGTGCATACATACAGTAAGTTGTCAGTGTGATGCATCGTACAAAAATTACACGAACATCTTTAATGAAATCTGTGAGCACTGATTTTCACTTGTCTGTCAAAAGTATACTCTGTCCTCAAGACTTCTATTATAAGCATGAAAAGACAAATGAGCATGCAAGATGAGCTTGAAAGAATTACCGCATAAAGCTCTTTTCCACTGAGTTGATCATGTTGGCATGCAAAGTTTTATTAAATAACACACAAAAATAAAAGCTGTTTCTAAGGTATCTTGGAAGTATTCCTAAATCCCTAGCTGCAGAGCATTTATCGATCACTATGTAGCTACTAAATGCCAGTATTACTACCAGACACTTCAAAAGAGTCATTCTTTCCTTAATAACACCCAAAGTTTTGCCAGGTGAGGGGTCTGATGCTTCAAGCCACTGCTTAGGGTAATAATTTCATAGACATTCATGGATCTGCAGGTCTGAGTAACTAGGGCCAGAAGCCTAACCAGTGTACAAAAGTACACACACTGATTATCCTCCCAGTGTCACAAAACCACTCCAGGATTAAACTGAGTGACTGACTAAAAGTGCAGAACGACAGCTGGGAGCCTGTGGCAAGGCTTGTGTCCCCCAACCACAGCTGCACCTGGTGCCCCACCAGGCAGACAGGACCTCACCAGAGGTCCTCACCTCACCCCCTGCTGCACCAATGTGACTGTTCGCATGATACATCCAGCACGCAGGAGCCTGCGACATTTGGGACAGCAGAAACCAATGAGTTACACAATTATGAGTCTCTCTGCTAGGCAAGACTGTTCTCTCTTAGGCCAATTTCCTCAGAAAGATATACCGCTCCTCTGCTAAACCCCCGAGGATTTTTCCTCACAGATTTACCATGGCCACAAGGGGTCAGGATTTTTACTTGACTCCTAACCTGAAAACTAGTACCTTTAAACGTTACAGCTTTCAGCTTCTACACGTGGAATCCAAGTGAATAGCTGCACACCTGTGACACCACCACCACCTTCCCCATATCTACATACCTTCAGAAGCTTGCCACCGACCACACACACTGAGATGCAGCAGGCAATATGTGATATTGCTGCAGCATGAGAAGTTACAGGTGCAGCATTTGGCTCTGTGCCCAGTGACTAACAGTCGTCTTTCATCACGACAAGGTTACAAGTTGGTACTAAAAATTTTTGTGGAAAAGCAAAATGAGAGGAATGCTGTGATGCTTATAGCACTTACTTTTTTGGAGGAAAGCAAGAGAGTTTGGACTGGCTCAAAGTTTGGAAAAAGTTGTGTCTCTTCAATAATATGCATTCCATTTTCATAGCTGATAGCTTTGTGCAGGGCTCCTCGATCTGAAACAACAAAGCAACATATTTAAGAGCCTTAAAACAAAAAAGCAGGGGAAAAATTGCACAATTGCTGTAAGTTGTCTCAATAATCTGCTTGCTATTCAGCTGAAGACTTCACACAACTCTGTGCCAATGGCAATCATTAACCCTGCCACCATAAGGACCTCCAAGCAAGAAATGACATTGTGGGACAAATAATGACTAATTAAGGACTATCTTCTATGTGGCTTTGTTGCACTTATTGCAGTTTTGCAGTTATTTTCCTGCAATACATTTTCAAAGCACACAAGACTCTCCACTTACTCACTGTAACCCCTTAAACTTAATGAAAACACCAGCTGGTGGTGTACAAGCACTGTAAATGTGAAAATCTCAAGAGTTTCTCTTAGAACGTACTTCAGCCTAAAGAATCAGTACATCATTAATAAAAGTGTTTTTCAGGACTCACCTGTGCTGATGAACATAACATCATATATGGTGCCATTGAGTGCTCTGACTCTATCTACCACAATCTGGGTATACTTCACATCTCGTTTTACTAGTCGAGGTCTGTCTCCCATTGGAGTCACTGAGTCATCCATTAGAGGATGATCTTTAACAAACTGCAATGTTTTGTCTGGTAAATTCAGAGAACTCATGTAGTTTGATGCTCTGGCTTCCTTGTTTATACACTAGCAGGGGTGGGGGGAACAAAACAAAAAAAAAAAAGAGAGAGAGAGACAACCAAATGATATCATTTACTTGTACAAAATAGAGACAATTAACAGCAGCTACATGTGTTTTCTTCTCTGCATTATTTGGGCCAGTAAGCACACCTTTACATTATACTCATTCTACCAAGGAAGGTCCTCAGGTCGTGTAGCACTTTGGCTTCTGTGATGTACTAATCCCTGAGCTTCGGACTACTTGGGCCCAAAACACATTTCAGAAAAATATTCTTTTTGGACTCTCATGCTTCTTAACTACTTTTAACTGACAGCTAATTCAGCAGTAGCAACAAGATGACTGCAGGGAACATGAGAAAGTAAGAAAAGCGTGAGAGACCCACTATGAACATTTTAGTTTCCAGAGCAATGTACTGCATTGGATAAACCGGCTGAATCTACAGAGACAATGCAATCATTGCTATACTTCTGTTCATCTGAACTAAAAAGTATTTGATGCTGCCTGGTGTATACTGTCATCTATTTCACCACTAGAGGATTAGTAACAAAATAATGAAAATACAAAACCAGCAAATAACTTAATTATAGATTAAAAAAACCCACTCTGATTCCCAGATATAAAGTTCAGAATAAATCACTTGAGTGTTCTTCTACAAAGTCTTTACAACAAAAAGTACTGAGGCTGGGACAAACTAAAATTCTAGTTTCTTTACCCTTGAGCATTAAAAAAAGACTAGTCATCAGATCCAAGATTACAGAAACTTACTGCACCAGGTCGAGGACTAGGAATTTCCCCATTGTATCGTACCCACTTTGTATGAGACTGTTCTACTGTAGCACTCTGCATATATTTTCCTTTTGAGAAAACCTCTTCTACAGTAGACAAATTGTATGCACACACTGCTGACAGCCCCACGTTATTCCTGAAAGTCCAGGAAGAAAGAAAAAAAAAAAATATTATAGGAGTAATTATTTAATCTCTGTTACTACAAGAAGTAAAGTACTCATCTAGGAAAAGGATAGTCCACACTTACAGTTGTGGGGTGAAGACTCCATATATCACTGGCTCCTTCAAAGTCGGAGACTTGAGAATAAAAACATCATTGATAATATTGAAAATTAAATTCTTATCAGGGATGGTACAAATCAATCTGGCCTTGAGAAAGGAAGTCCATTTTTTCTGCAAGGTCCTTAATCCTCCTTGGTCCCTCTTTTGATATTGAAAAAATAAAAAGGTGTTTGTGAGGAGAATTTACAACATTTTTGCATTTAAGAACCACTGCTATACATACAGCATAAAATTACTGAGCCCTGCTATTTTCTAACAGTTAGAACCTAACAGCACCATCAATAAATGTTAACACATTCACAAACAGAAAAGCAAGGAAGCCACAGAAAAATTAGTTGATTCAACAAAACTAATGCAGAATGGTTTTTGTCAACTTATAGAGGTAAGACAAGATAAGAGAGTTATGCAAGAACCGTATTTCAGCAACATTTGAAAAACTGAGATGAGCAATGTACCCTTAGAAAAAAACTGCTTACTAGAACAAATAAAATAAACATGGAAGTATTATACTGTTCCTTAAAAGAGAAGTTAAGTAACATTGCATTTGGTTTGTGACATCTAAACTGTGATTTAAATTCTAATGTTGCAATATGCACTTAAAATTGCCTGACGTTAATAATTTCATTAGAAGAAATGCAGCAATGGCTTAATCCTGCAAGGAGTTACCACCTTTACTAAGGATTTCCAGTAGCAGGGCTTAAAGAAGCCAAGATATATTGACTAGAAATGTTTCAAAATATTTGATACTCGAGCTGTAGCTCTGTTACTTCTCTTCCAAAAGCAGGGCATATTTGAACATCATTAGTATTTGCCATTCATTATCCAATGCAGTACTAAAGGAAATCTGCAAAATTTATGAAAACAGTTAAGTATAAATGCTTACAGATTTGTAACCTGCCATTGATTCCCATTTCAAACAAACAGCAGTAATAAAGCTCTCATATTCCACGATACTCCCCTTTTAAAGTGCGCACAAGCTGTCAGTGGGAAGAGGGCCATAACAATAAGCCCAATGTAAACCTGCTTCCAGCTGCTTGTTTAATGGAAATCTCAAGGGCATTAACTTGTTATTGATGTTTTGACTTCCATGTTTAAATACAAAGCAGTAAAGTCAAAATAAAACATTTCAACCTCATCAAAATGAAAAAGCTAGATAAATTTCCTGTTGGAAAAAAAAAAATCCTGAGGAAATTGATACATTCCACTGAGAAAGTTTTTGTTAAATCAACATTTTCTACTGGAAAATACTTCTTTCATCAGCAAGATTTTTAACAAACACTCCTGAGTACATACTTGAATCAGCCTAACAAACTGAGGTTTAAACACAGCAAGTGTGACAGAATCAGGCTGCTGGTGACCGTTTTCCTTGAGGCTCTGGCAGCTCTAACAGCTTCATAGAAGTCCCATCTGCTACACCACAGTCAAGAGCTATTCTGCTGTGGACACAGCTACAGTTTTGTTTGTATACAGCTGTTTGAAAGTAACTTGACAAACATCCTAAACACTCAGCTCCAACCAAAGTCAGTTCTTCCCAGGGAGCTGTACTTCTATATTTGTTTAAATAAAAAAAAAAAAAAAATAAAAAAAAAAAAAAAGGAGCAGCCAAGGGAGGCACTTTTTCTTTTGCTGGGTTTTATGGTGGTTGGTTTTTTTTTCTCCCCAGGGCAGAACCCTCAGATGTACTGAAATTTCACCACTGTGCAAAATTAAATCAAGTATTTGTTCTCAAAGCAACATTTAGGCTTCTGCAGTTCTGAAGAACTGACTGAACTGATTGAAATTGCTGATTCATTAAGATTCATTAAGTTTGACTACTTCCATTTAATTTGCAGTAAGTCCACAATAATGCTTTTTAACACACACAAAATTCTAGCTGAATTAGTAAGAGTAAATTAACTATGTCCCACCTTGCACACTCTAGCTATTCTTGGAATCATCAGTTTTCCAACAAATTCATACTCCACAGACACCTCAGTGAAAAAGAAGTATATCTTGTCATCGTCTCCATCTGTGCTGTTTTGATCCGCTCTTATCACATCAGCAAAAACAAAATTGGGCTCTACAGATAGAAAGAGAAGAATTTTATATTATATATGAGACTACTAACTTGATTCCCTCTGGAAGTCCTTTTCTGCCGAAATCTCACACTGCGCTTACCTGCTTTCCAGTCACTGACCTGCCTACACAGTTTGCTGTTCATAGTAAGAATAGAATTTCTAAAAAATAGAGATAGAGACCAAAAAACCACAACAACACAAACCCTATGTCAAGGCCCTAAGGAACCTGAGAGATCTCTGCGGTCTGATACCTCGGTACTTCAACGTTGTTCAGTCCATACTCAAGCGTGGTTTTCTAATGGGCCTGGAGAGTACCGTCCCTTGCCTTTCCTCTCTATTTCAGCTGTTAGCTTAAGTACTAAAAATGACATTACAACATGTACTACAAAACTCATTATCCTGTACTTTTTGGACATAATGCATCTTTTGGAATATGCTAATTTTGGTCCTTTTTGGCAGAAAGCCACCAATCTCTAAGCATTCACAAAATTTGGTGAGCTTTGAAATTCAGGAACTGAAATCATCAGTAACCACGATCTGCTCAATTTGAAAACTCATTAGAGACCAAAACCATTCTCTTCCTTACTATATCATAACTATGCCACATTATTGCAAGAAAGAACAAGTATATATAAAATAAACTGTCACCCTTTAACATCAAGTTGAAGCCTGTATGTCTCGAAGCTGTTTTCACTCTCAATGCTGATTAAAAAATCCTTAAATTTAAAAATAAAGTCTCTTGATGGCACACGAGAGCACACACTCACATGTCAGTGTATGCCAGTACAACAAAATCTATTCTCTGTGACATATTAGACAATTGCCCCTTACCCCAGGTAAGACACTTAAACTCCTTGTCTGTAAGCATGACACTGAAGAAGGAAAAACAACCTGGTTGGGCCAGTTCTCATGCCCACTTACCATTAAGCCAAGGTATTGCATACTCTGTTCTCAGAGGGCTCTGATGAGAGTGCCGTGAAATGATAGGTTCGCTTCCCAAGAAATTGTAAGAAGTCCCAGAATAAAGCTCCTCATCTTTTAACACAAAAACAAGTATTTTAGACTTTCTTATGCACTGGATACCAAAAAGAGTACATAAATATTTCAGAAGACTGTGTAAGCTTAAAATTCCCACAAGAAAAGATAAACAGGGATTTCCTCTAAATTGCCCCAGACATGTCTTCTGTGTTTACATTTCTGCTGACCATTCTCAAGGCTAACACATCCACACTTGGGTTTATTATTGCTCTAACACAAGCAACTGGCAAAAGTCAGCATTGTTTTTGTGCTACTTCAACACTTAACATGTAAACCTACAGTTTATGTACAAAAATGCAAATTTACTTAAGAAATGCCACAGAAGTTTTGGAAGTAATAATTTTACTCTCTTTCTATGCCACCATTATTCAAATTCAACTTTTAAGAATTTGAGCAACAATGCAAGAAGCGTGTTCTTTTCTTTCTCGTTTTCTGTTTCATGTTACTTTGAGGTTCTCATTTATGATCTTGTGACATCAGGGTACTGCCATGAACTCTGGTTTCAGCAAATCAAGATTCAGTGGTGTATAATCATGCAGTAATATACTTGTAATAAATATCTCGCTTCCCTATTCTGTCTCATGGATATGTCTTCAGAACAGCCAAATAACTGTACTTTTTAAACGTACTGAAATGACAGTAATTGATACTACAAAGGCAAAGTACATTTAGACTACTTGGACTAAATATGTTAAACATCTGAAAACACAGATTAAGAATCAGTATTTTAAAAGTGGTTTCCAAAGCAACCTAGAGTTTTAAGTTCTCCTTTTAAGAAACATGCTAAGGTTGACTACTTAAGTATTTTAATATTTATCTAGATACACAGTAGAGATATAAAAATACAGACGCAATCTACCATTTTGATATTGACAGACTGGAGAATGACAGCATAAAAGATCGAACATTTTTATATGTAATACTGATGTATGCGAAGTCTGAACTTACCAACCATAACAGATGTGTAGCTTTGAGCAGGATCAAATGGACATCTGCCCTTACCATCTTCATTTTTACCTCCAAGTTCAAATGAAATTAAATTCTGCAAAAAAATAAGTTGAAAATGACATAACTGTTTGCACCTTTTCCCTTCAGCCACTTGACTCGTGCAAAGGCTAACTGAAAAATTAACATTAAATAATCAAAGAATCACAGAATGGTAGGGGTTGGAAGGGACCTTCGGAGATCAGCTAGTCCAACTCCCCTGCCAAAGCAGGTTCACCTACAGCAGGCTGTACAGGAATGCATTCAAGTGGGTTTTGAGTATCTCCAGAGAAGGAGACTCCACAGCCTCTCTGGGCAGCCTGTTTTAGTGCTCTGCCACCCTCAAAGTAAGGAAGTTTTTCCTCACGTTGAGATGGAATTTCCTGTGCTCCACTGTATCATCAACTTCCAGCATCAAAGCCATTTTTTGTAAGATTCTAAAAGGCATATGTGTTTTCAGAAAATCTCATCGAGTCCAGCATACAGAAAGGAAATGTGATCCTATGATTTGTGAGGGCGGGAGCAGAAAAGAACAGAAGACAAAAGTTAAATCCAGACAGACCTCAACAAAGAGCAGCCAAAAAAGCCAGA